GTCATCTTCAGAGTCAAGTGAATAGTGTTTGTCAGTCGATGATGTTATAAGTCTGGTCCGTTAAACGTGATTGGTCAGTTTAGCCGTGATTATATTGGCTGAAAGACTCGTGTAAAGTTTGTCATCAGTCATTGGTCGGTTTCGATCCATCTATTGTCAAATTGGTCGGTTTTTGGTCCGTGGTTAGTCAAATTAAGTCGGTCTGTTAGAAGTCCGTTTGTCAGTTTTGTTTCTGTCATGGATAAGTTGTTTGTAAGGCGCCGGTAGTTGTTGACAACTGTTAAGAGGCGTTTGTTCTAGGTTAGTGCACCAGCTTTCCAGAGTCAGTCGCTGAAAATAGTTTGTACTGTAGGTTAAGCACTGAGCAGAGTTCCAGTCAATGTTGTGGTTTGTCAGCTGATGATGTACAACAATGTGATTGTTGGCATCACCATTTCTCATGGCTCGTTTGTGTTCAGTTAGTCTCGTGTTAAGGTTTCTGCCAGTCTCACCAATGTAGGAAGCGTGGCAGTCGGAGCATTTGATCTTGTAAACTGCTCCCTGTCTGTCGTTAGGTTCGTCCCTGTCTTTAATGTTGGTCAGTTAATGTTGTAATGTAGTTGTAGGTTTGTGGGTTACACGGATGTTGTAGGGCTGTAGGATCCCTGAGATGGTCTCGGAAGTGCCCTTAATGTAAGGTATAGTCACTGTAGTAGCAGGTGTTGGGTTCCTGTTCGTTGCGTCAGCTTCAGCAGGTTGGTAAATGTTTCGTTTAATAAAGTCAGTGTCGTAGTTGTTTTTGTGAAAAACACGTTCAAGGTATCTGGGGGTTGCCTGTTTCTGTTGTTGTCACAGAAATTGTGATGCAACCTGGGAGGAATGCGCCCTTGCAACCTACAACGACAAACGATACCACTTTAGTTACACTACATTGACGACACCTTTACTGCTGTTCACAAAGACGAAATTGACAATTTTCACGACCACCTAAATGAACAGAACGCTGACATCCAGTTTACTAAAGAGATCAAAGAAAATGGAAAACTTCCTTTTCTAGACTGTTTGGTAAGCCGCGACAACAATGAGCTACGAATGACAGTGTACAGAAAACCGACGCATACCGACAGATTGCTTGACGAATCATCCTACAACCCGACTTCACACAAAGCCATGTGTCCACTTAATAGAGATTTTTAGCAATAGAAATTAGCCAAAGAAATTTATGTTAGTGTCTGCCTCCGCTTAATAGAGGTGTGCGCTGAGCAGAGGTTTGTTATAAAGGGAAATATGAGACATTAATTTCGGGACCAGGGTAAGTGTCCGCTTAAGAGAGGGTGTCTGCTTAATTGGGGGTCTGCTTAATAGAGGTTTCATTGCAGTATCTTTTTTGGGAGCTATAGATTAGCGCTAATCGTATGGCCCCCAAAATATAACAACACGCAATGACATGTGCATTAAGGCACATCTTGTACCGTCCGTTTACAGCATGTTTCAGCAGTTATTCACGTCCATGGGAAGTTAAACTTAGGCACGCTTATGTGCTATATATGCTGTTCAGTGTTAGTTGTAATCATTCCCTAAAGAAGTCTCAGGCAGAGATGAAATGCATCGGAAATAAACAGAAAAGCTCACAACTACAAGAAGTCATCCTTTGTGCTGCTCACTAGTCTATTTTAAAAATTAAAAAATTCCAATAACCTTCCAAGCAGATGGGCTTAGAGGATAGATTGTAGAGCGTAGAGCGTAGATGGGCTTAGAGGGTAGATGGTAGATGTTAAGATCGTAAAGCACAGATCGGAGAGAGTAGCTGGTGGAACGTAGAGAGTAGAGCGTAGATAGGCTTAGAGGGTAGATGGTAGATCATAGAGCGTCAATTGAAGAGAGTGGCGGGTAGAATGTAGAGAGTAGAATCTATGTAGATGGTAGAAATATGGCGTAGAGTGTAGAGGGTAAACTCGATACAATTGTACATTAAAAAGATTAGTAAAATACTGTAAACTGTAATAACATTTTAATATACAGTGGAACCTCTAGTTGTGACCACCTCTTGTAAGTGACCAGTTTTCCACAATACCAAAAGTTTTCCAGTCAAATCACTATATTTGGAACCTTGCAAAGTGAAGTTGCTTATAAATTTGTCTGTTGTTGTGTATGATATATCACCGATAAATCAGGAAAATATCACAAGAACAAAGTGTGATATTTGATGATTACTGTTTCTATTACTTTAATTTGTATAGTACTGTACAAGCCATGCATTCAGGACTACAAAGCTAGAGGAACCAGTTTCCCCCTCCTTGTTAGCTAGCTTATATTAATCTAGGCTAGCTAAACTGTAAGTATTTTTCGATAATTTTTTTGTTTGTTGATAGGTCTGCCATAATCTGTACCATAAACAGAGTTTATCATGTCAGAAGAAGGTTTGGCTGCAGGTTCAATAGCGGAGTGCCCATCTGGTTCAACAGCAGAGTGCCCAGCTGGCTCAACCATGGAGTACCCAGTCAGTTCAACCATGGAGTGCCCATCAGGTTCAACAGCAAAGTTCCCAGCAGGTTCAACAGCAGAGTGCCCAGCAGGTTCAACAGCAGAATGCCCAGCTGGCTCAACCATGGAGTACCCAGTCAGTTCAACCATGGAGTGCCCATCAGGTTCAACAGCAAAGTGCCCAGCAGGTTCAAGAGCAGAGTGCCCAGCTGGTTCAACCATGGAGTACCCAGTCAGTTCAACCATGGAGTGCCCAACAGGTTCAACAGCAGAGTCTCCATCAGGTTCAACAGCAGAGTGCCCAGCAGGTTCAACAGCAAGGTGCCCAGCAGGTTCAACAGGAGAGTGCCCAGCAGGTTCAACAGGAGAGTGTCTAGCAGGTTCAACAGCAGAGTGCCCATCTAGTTCAATGGCAGAGTGCCTACCAGGTTTAACCATGGAGTACCCAGTAGATTCAACAGCAGAGTGCCCAGCCAGAGATGACCAAGAGAAACTAAGAACATCAGTTGAACAAAAGAAATTCAAAGTGAGAGGGGCAAATAGACGGAGAGATTACAACAAGAATCAGCACGATAAAATAGGGTCATCTTCATCTCACAGGAGACATGCTTGTGCTAGGTATGAAGATAAGACTCATAGACGCAATAATCCTGGCAAGAAAGGCAAAGACTGTATCAACAATGTAGTAGATGAAGATATTGCACAGGTGTCAGAAGCAGGTGCATATTATCATGGTGACACTGCTTCAATAACTAAGCCAGAAAGGAAGAGAACAGAAGCAAAGCAAATAGATGGTAATGATCATCAGACTGATGCAAAATACATGTACATGTATACTGCAGAAGTGAATGAGACAAGACAAAAAACAAGAGCTTCTAAACGGATAACTAGCCGAAGAGGTAATCCACAAGGTACGAGACTGCATGAGCAAAGTGAGAGTGCTAGAGGTGGTATTCATGATAGCAAAAGAGATTACATGTCTCCATATTATGATCACCAAGAAGCACCATGTAACCTGTCAATGCAAAGGACAAATTTGTCAAGGCAACCTTGTTATGGTGAATCTAGCAAACCCCATAACAAAGAGAGCAGGCAAAGGGGGTCACAAAGAGCAATAACTACAGCCAAAGCTAGTAAAGGGGACTACAAAAATCAAAAGGAAGATGTGTTTCGTACCCACGGCCATCGTAATCCAGTGCAGTCATCTCAAGCCAGTGTTTTGATAGAGCAGCTAAGGAATGAAACGTATGAATGCATGGTTTGTTGTGATAGGATTCGATGCAGTGCTGCAGTGTGGAGCTGTCACAACTGTCATCATTTGTTTCACTTGGGTTGTGTTAGGAAATGGGCCAAGTCCTCTGCTAATGCCAATGCTATGGAAGGTATGATACCATTCATTATAATTTTAATATAAGCTGGTTTAAAGTATTGTGTCTGTGGTTGTAAACAAATAAAGCTCTATTTGACAGTCATCATAGCAGTTTGCCAAGTTAGAAGTGGCATTGTTGTGCAAGGCTAGAGTTATCTCTTAAGTGGCTGTCTCCTTTTCTAATGCTTGAAGAAAATATTATGTGTGGTTACACGGGGCACTTTTACCATGGTAAATAACGGTTTTTCCATGGGAAATGCCATTTAGTTAGTATGACAAACACTTCCCGAGGTAAATTTCCCACAGTAAATATCCATGGATATGCCAAAAAGATCACACAAAGCACCTGTGACATTTAATATAGTACATGTAAGTTGCAATGTTGTTTTGATGCCCAAGGTACAAGAGCTAATTTTGATGCTCCGTGTGACATCAACATGAAACCGCAAAGGAAAAGTGGTTTTGCTTCGCTAGTTCCACTCCCTGCGTTACCGGAATCAACAATTTTTGACACCATAGATATGGCATGATTTCAGGGAATGCTATGAGTATCTTGTTTATTTCAGGTGACCTCTCAACCTGTTTAATCTTCTTTGCTAGACCGGTTATTTTAACAACGGTTAAAACTGAAAATCCTTCAAAGAAATTGAATATGGATACTCACTCAGTGAATTCCTGTTCAATGGATTTCTTGCTAACCAAAGTGAGACCCGAGAATTACTACTGGTGGTAAAACGAAGATCAACCTGGATCATCCAGTTTTGTACTCTTTCCTGGATATCAGAAATTTCACCCTAATTTCCACAGTTTTCATGATGAAAGTCCTGCTCACGCTGAAAGTCCCATTGTAAATAAACTGAGATGCGTGACATTTTTTTACCTTGACAAACTGCACTAATTGTATGTAAACCCATGTGAGATTCACTGTGGGAAGATTTACCACAGGAAATGACATATACCATGGTGTGTGTGACCTCACCTATCAACTCCTCTTTTCATACTAGAAAATAATAGTGTGTTTACCATGGTTCAAATGATTTCACTTGAGAGAATACTGAGCCATAACAAAGAGCCACTGCCTGCAAATATGCAGAATCCGGCAAAACGACGGAAAATCCTAATTTTCTTTATTTCATCAAAAAGGCCCTTGTGGCGAACTATTTTCAGAAGTATGCTTTTTATTTAATTTGTGAAATCTAGGACAGTTTGCAATACCTGTTGATGAGCAAACGTGGCTGATGGAATTCATGCAAATTTGAGCATTTTAAAACAGGCCAGTACAGAAAGAAAGAAACTTGCCTGCACAATCTGCACAACTTTCCTTATTGTAACACCAACAAAAATTAGGTCCACGATTAGTACAACTTTGTTTCTAAATCCTGGCTTGATTAAAAATGCAGATATAATGTTTTTGTACTCAGCCCTTCATTTATGTTGGATCTAAAGCATTGATCAGAAACACACAACTTGCAGTACTTTATCATGGTTATATTAATTGACTCCACTCTTATATACTTTCAGGGAAAACTTGTGGATGGCGATGTCCAGGATGTCAAAACGCTACTCAAGAGATACCAAGTGTTTACAAATGCTTTTGTGGTATGGAGTACTTCATTTTTCATGCATCTTTTGATGCATTTTACTTCATGCAGAATACGTATTGAATTAAACTGGACAATCAGTATTCCTTAAAGTGCCAGTTGGATTATATTTATTCTGAATTCAATGTTCCTACATTGTTTGAAAGTTATGTAGTAATAGTGGTAACTTGCCTGTTAAGGCCTTTTGTTCAACCCAAGCTCTGGAAGTCAGTTGATGATATTTCTTGAGCTTTTGCATCTGCTGTTTGTTGGCATGTTCCTACTGTGGAGCCAGACACACATGTGGTCCCAGTGATGTTATACTTGCAATTCAAACTACAGCTCAATGCAGGGGTAATTTACATCCAAGTTAACTTGCGGATCACAATAGTAAATTGTTCTCTTATAGCACTCACTGCCCCTAAGAATTTCATGGTCGCAAGATTTAACCAGAGTAGGAGAGATGTGTAGAGTAAGAGATGTGCCTAATAAGAACATGTCGCTAAAGGGGATGTTGGTGTTTAAAAACTTGGATGCAACTTACGACCTCTTACTTGGCAAAAGGGGCAGAAAGCCTGACCAAATACATTTAGATAGGAAAGGGAGGCCTCAGTTATTTATTGCTCACCTCCAAACCAGCCCACATAGAAACGTTTCCATCAAAATTACGTTAAACACTGGCGGATAAGCTGCACCTTTTTACTCAACATTTTCCTAACAAATCAGGGATGCGGGTTATCTGTGAGAAAATCTGGACGATGTGCCATGAATTTGCATAAATTAACACTTTTCATCAAAAATTTCAAAGTTGGTATAGCAAACTAATAAGAACTTCATGGAACTATATCAGAGTATGTATTGATCATTACTTTTACAAGTTTGGTGGCTCCTAAAAGAGCCGTTTTTGTTCGTAAACATGAGGTTACATTTCTTGTTGTTCAACAGCATTAAACCTTCGTTGAAAAATCTTTCAACCTGTTTAAGGTCACCTTTCTGGAGCAGCTACATTTTAAATGTCCTGCGATAGGAAATCTCCATTCTGCCACAAAGCTGTTTACGGTGTTGCACTGTACTGCGATCAAATAAAGCTTCAAAAGCTACTTGTGTCTAGTACTCCATCTCCTGGTCAAATGCGTGCCTACTAAGTTACGAATGAACAAAAGCATTCGTGTTGTTGTATGTAAAATTCTATTGAAAAACTGACAGGAATGAAAAAATGCTAGTCAAAAAATACCAGAGAAAGATCAAACATAATATTATGTCAAAGTCCGTAGACACCATGTCCATACTATTTCTGTCAGTACTCGCTGTTTTCAATGTTTAGTGAGTTTATGCAGGTTCACATTCAATAAATCAAAGAATATAAAAAGCACCTTTTTCAAGACTCCACTGTTGATTTGTTTCATTTTCTTTCCACAAACTTTTTTCCAAAATTTGAGTTGCCAAACTTGGGGTGTGGCTTATCTGTAAGTGTGGCTTACCCACTGGTGTTTACGGTAATCAACTTTTTATTAGAAACATCCAGTTATATTCTTTATACACTCAGCTGGAGCATTCAATCTTGAATCTACAACTCATCTCTTTTGTGACTGGTTTTACTTTTAAGTTGTTGATACATTGGAACCTGATCTGCTATCTATAACCTAGAAACCTCTTGTAAACATCCAAATGCATTCATTTTAAATAGAGTTCATCTTTTTGTGTTACCGGTGATGAGAAATTTATTCCAAAGAAGGGCTTGTTGCTTGCTTGCTTGTAAGAGGGGAAGGCAAACATAGCAAAATACATAGTTTTGAATTGTTTTGAACACTTATGTTGTAAAACATTGTGAGTATAACACCGCACCCAGATCTGCTGCTGTTAAATTGCAGGCTTATTGGAAAAAAAAAAGTAAGCTTCAAGTGTGTTTTTAATATTAATAGCCATTAACTTGCATTTGGAGAAGGTTTTGCACCACAATTGGCTATTCTGTGTTCAAAACTGGAGAAGTACTAGTTTTCATCTAACTGGTGCTTGAACTCATTGACTCCCTAAAGTGGTTAAAACCAGTTTTGAGGGAGCCTTTTCTTTTTGCCACTTGTGAATTCATCACATCTTATGCCGGAAGATGTATCAGTCATCAGCAGATAGCTTGGCAATAAACCCTAGCTTTCAAAATGGGCCTAAACTGGCATGATATGATAAACTAGACCTTGATAGATGCAGTGAGCCCGTATATTTTTCCTTTTAAAATCAAAGAAAAACTTGACTCTCTCTTCTGTGGACATCAGTGTTCAGTTCATAATGACTACCTTCCTTGATGATCAGATGTAGTGGAAACTTTTCCAAGTGAAATAAAGGAGACTGATTGTGAAAGACCAAGAAAACTTATGCTCTTATGGTTTTTAAGTAAAAACCTACTGATTAAAATATCTAACTAATTGACAAATATTGTAATCCATTATCAGTACTATATTGAGTGAAGCTGAACAATGGAAAGAGTGGGGGGAGGGGGGGGCAGGGGCAGGGAGCAATACTTGTTTTGACACATTTGATTGAGTATCGTTTCTTTACCAGCAGTGTTTTCAAGTAACTTGTGAGCTATTAACATGTACGTTTATCTAATCACATTGACAGGGAAAGTCATTGATCCTGAGTGGAAACGCCATGAAGGCTTGATACCACATAGTAAGTAAACACTGTGTGACTGTTCTGATCCTTTAACCAATGAAACCTTAGTGCATCACAGTCTTCTTCACAGATTCTGACCTGGAGTGAGGGTGCTCCAGAGTGACCACATGCTGATGTGTTGTAAGCAACACAAAGCTTAGTGGTTTCTGCTAATTTGCGCACTACCCCCTTGTGTGGCATGTAAAACTCCCGGTGCCCAGTCACAGGACCAGAGACTCTTTCAATGATTCCCCCCTCAATCTGATCTTGGTTCACTTGATTGTAGCACTCATTAATATTGTTCCTTGGGTGTGCAATTTTTTCAAAAGGTTTTCCAAGTGGTAGAGACTCCCCGCTTCATTGCGGGGGAGTGGAAGATGATTGCCTCTCCGAGGAAGCTCAGTCTGATACCATCCGTTTACATTTCACATTAATTGCTCTTTAAACTCTGCATAAACTTCAGCTTGATCACCAGTGGAAGAATCTGAAAGTCGAAGTACATCTAATCTAATCAGACACAATGGGCAGCATTTATAATTTGCTTCTTTATGCTTGGTTCCAGTGCAATTGACACACAGTCATTTGTTGCTTAGTAACCATTTGCGATCAGCAATTGAGGTTACTACTTTACACTTCTTGACCCTCTTTGAGGTATGAGAACTTTGTTTTGCCAGCAACTTCTGAACAGTCAATTTCAGCCTCAGATTGATTCCAGAAGCATGGCCATGGCCAACCGATTAGCTCTCCACTTAACTTTGTGATACTTAGGCAATTTGGCACTTTTGACCAGACCAGGGGACACTGTAACTTGACCCACTTGACCTTGTCTCATTTCCTCCATTTCTTTTTGTAGTCCAGTTTGAGCTCTAGCTGTGCACATAAGTTTGCTTACTTTTCAGTTAAAAGCTGCTGTCAAAGCTATTTATGGATCGAATTATACACCCACCTTTGTTGTATACCAAATAGTCTTTAAAATTAATTGCTGGCGAGCCTTAGTGAGGCAGCAGCCTATTCTTTACAATAGCGAGAAAAAGCCAAAATTTGTCAGATGTAAGATCGGAGACATGCGCAGTCAATTGTGTTTTTTATATCTGGGCATTCTGATATCGGGGGTGCTTGTGAATGCACGTGGAAATATGGATCGATTTCGAGCAATAGCTGTGTACAGCTGTCCCACTCTGCTAGAAATCAAGGACACAGTAAACGAATGTCTTTAATTGCTTGTGGAAGTATTCATCAAGGTCATGAACGGTTTGGTGATGACTCTCGAGGAAGACGAGATTTTTATGTGTTTGGCTGCTCTATTATGTGAGCAATTTTTGCTGATTCACGAAGGGAGGTGCCAAGATATCGATCAAGTCCTACTTCATGGAGATCATTTTTTTTTGTCAGTGCATTTATCAGCAGTGAAGTGTTAGGCAAAAATGCTTCCATTCGGAGTAAACTGCTGACTGCAGCTTGCTAGTCTTGGGAGAAAAGAGAGGAAGGTGTGAAGCCAACCTGCTTTATGTTGGAAAGTGACTTCGGTACCACAGGTAAATCATTCACAGTATTCTTTGCCCGTTGAGGCGTTGAATTTGATCGCTGAGTCAAAATCTCTGCCTGTTGAGGTAAATAATTTGACCATTGAGTTACATTTGCCAGTTGAGGCGAAAGAAAATCTTGCAATCACATTGTTCTGTGGATTTTGATTTCCTTGCTTTAATGCGATTTGATATGACCTTTGATGACATGTTGCGTGACGGCTCCAGTTTCGGTAAACTCACAAATTCATGCTATTAAAATGTCTCATTTTCACTTTTACTGGTAATGTTTAAGCATAAAGGCTAATTTTTAAAAATAATACTTGTGGAAATACATCTACTAAAGGTTTCCTGGGTCTCTTAAACCAAGTTCTGGCATTTGTTATGTTCTTTTTTTAACTCAACATAAACATTTTGGGGCTCTGTTGCTGTTTCACAAAAGCCCTTTAAAACTAAACTAGTTGGAAAAATCATAATTCTCTTTTAAAAAGCTACACCAACTCCTATTAGACTGTTTATTTCAAATTGTATTATCAGTATTTCTTTCAAGCTCTGACGCCAGCACCCACTTTCACATTGAAACTCCTAGTCTTAAGTAAAGTTAAAAAACACTTTACAGTTTCCAAATATCAGCCGTAATACTGAACTCCAAATAGCTAAAATTCATCAGAAATTCACTGCTATTAATCCAACGATGATTAATATGTAAAATGCTGTATGCACCTGCATTATTGACTAATGCAGTGATTTCACAGGCTTTTGTTTACTGGTCAGCAAAATTACCACAGAAACTCGACAGATGAGTGACTGACCACTCCTTTGCATATCATGTACATAATCTGATCACCCATTACAACTCGATACTTGCTATTGCAAATCATGATTCAAAAATTATGAATTTTTCAATATTTTGAATCTTTCAAATTCTGACCTTTTGGAAATGAAACAAAACCTATGCATTACAAAATGAGGATTTAAATTAATATATTAAATCAATGAAAGAAATGCTGATAAAGAAATAAAATTTGGAGCCATTAGATTTTTTCGGAATTACAGTTGAACCTCCAGTTGCGACCATCTTTCGTAAGCAACAACCTCTCCTCACCGACCAGTTTTCGAAAATACCAAAAGTTTCCAAGTCAAATCACTATATTTGGAACCTCTTTTGTGCTAACTCTTGTAAGTGATGGCGACTATTTTTAAAGCTAAGAGTTTGAAATTTTGTTTTGTTCTTAACCGCCTGTAAGTGGTCACCTGATAGATAATAGAGCAGAAATTGGATAATAAGGTGTTGTTCCATTCGACTTATTACGTAGTTTATCAGAAGCAAACCATGATACACTGAATAAATACTTTGGAAAGCTTAAATATTTTTGTGGCTACTAAAAGTTATTACATGGATTTAGATGGGCATTGGCTCATGGGGTAAGTCTCTACAGTTAACACATGCTAATGAGGCAAAATTTTGACCCAATGTGGTCTGAGCTTTCGTAAACGACCACCTCCAATAAGCGACCACCCAGGCTTGACATTTTGGGTTGCTGCTTACGGAGGTTTGACTGTATTTACATGACCATGGATGTGGCCTGATGTCGTCATCATTGATGTTGCTGATCATGAAAAAGTTAAAATATCTGAGATGACTCTGAACTGACTAAATGTGGTGAAGTCATGTGACAGTTTAAAAGTTTCTTAATTGGCCTTTAAAAACTAGAAATTGTTGAAAACTAGTGAGACAACCTCAGATAGTGCAGAGAGTGATTTGTGGCTCTGATAAAGAAGTCACACAGATCCTCACCCCCTGCCGTTCTCTCCCTTGGTAGTCAACTACGCCTTTTCCCCTTTGCAGAATATGAGTGGACAAAGACTTGATAAGACCTAATCTTAGCAGTGTGTATGTTTCATGTTTGTATATTCTTTCAAGGCCCAAAAATATCTTACAATTACCGTTTGTCAAGACGGATTTAAATTGTATTGTGGTATTTTATGTTAAGTTTTGTTCATTTTAAATTCAATAATATTGAGAAGTGGCAAATGTGACAATTTTACTTTTGACACCAACCTTTGTAACTTGATACTTTTTTTTCCTCACCAATGTATGCAACAAGATACCTTTGTTTCCACAAGAATATAAGAAAGATGTGTATTTGTTTTTACATACTACTATCTGCTGAAAAGTCGAAGAGGAATGATTTTGTTTTATTTATTTTGTTTATCGGTGAAATTTTCATTTCACCAATAAACAAGAACTAATCTAATTATCAAATAGTCATGTGGAGTCACGGAATAGTGTGTTCTTATTCTGTTGCCAGCTTTGGTGTTAACAATAAAACCACGTCAAACTAATACACAATGCTATTGAATAATACAACTGAGGAGCATTTCAATGAGAAGTATTGAAAATAGGGATCTTTACTTGACCAAAATTATATAACACGTCGGTGAGTGAGTCACCTCATAGACTGATGAAATTAATTGGCGTTTCAGTAAGTGCCACAAAGTCTGCAGCAATAATAACGAAGTTTCTTTTGTCACAAATTTACTAGTGTTACATGTAACTAACATGAGAAAGTTTCAGCTGAATATGAACTTTTGGCTCTCTTTCGTAGAAGAATAAACAAACAAGCTGCTAAGGAGAAACAACATGTTTCCATTCTTTATTTGAACTCCTTTCGTCTACCATTATGTAGAACATCAATTTTCCGTATTCTATCAAGGTCCTAAATTTTGAGTGCAGAATGCACTATTGGGATAGTTTTGGGGGCTGCCTGCCGCTAAGGTGTAAACTTTAATGTTTGTTTAATTAGTTAATTTCAATTAATTAATTAATTAGTCTAGAGACAAGGAAATGGTGAGGGTGAGCTGGGAAAGGTAGATGTGTACCCTACGTAAAACGTGTTATATCTACGTCAGTTAGAAGTAAACATTGCAAAGCTATATATTTGTTTCAAGTAACCCCTTGCTCTCCTTGTGGTACTATTCTCTTAAGAACAAAGCCAATTTGCTCTAAACGCATGCACAGATTAGTTAGCGTTCATGTCTTCTATACATTAGGTGGAGGATACATTGCATGCAGGATAACACACAAATGTTGAGTAGTTTTCCTTATGGTAGAACCCAACATGTAAGAGGCATACGTTCTAGCATTGTAAGTGTTATATACTATGTTTCCACGCGGTTGTTTATGTCATGTAGGGTGATTACCATTTAGCAAAAAATTCCGGAAATTTCGGTTGAAAGTCAAATGTAACAGTAATTGAATTGCAAATGGTAAGCACCATCTTGTTTGGTTGGTTTGTTGATTTTGGAAAAACCTTTACCATTATTCAACGGTCATCCCAGCCGGTTTATTCTGACAAATGGTAAGCACCCGTAATGTCAGGTGCTAGGTAGCGCCACTTGTCCCTTTTTAGTGCAAAAGTTAAACATATCTTTTAGAATTACCCACAGGTCGGTTCAACAAATATCATCTGCTGTTTTCAAACTACAATGGTA